CGTATGCACTTCTGCAACGCTGCATTGTAGTCTAGGCTCTTGGACGCTAGTCTGGGTCTCGGGTTGATCTTGGAAAAGGATGTGCCCTAAACACGATGCTTTCTGTGCGACCACCCAAAAACGATCACAAAACCATTCAATTCGCATCCCATTGCGATCTGTTGGCATGTCTGTCTGCAGATGAACCGAATGCAATTTGGTGGGCCAAGCCCCAGCGAAACAAAATCCACAACACCTACAATGTCAAATGCAAAACCCTCAGACCTGAACCCCCAAGGCTCAGGAAACGCTTCTTAAAACCTCCAAGAGCCTTTGATGGAACTCAAACTTCAAAACCAGCAGTCCTGCCCTGAGCACGCCTTGCATCACAACTGTGCGCGGCTGGCACAGGCTTGTGCTGCATCAAACCGAGCTTGAGGCTGGTATGTTGGGTTTAGGGTTTAGGGGTTTTGGGTTTAGGGGATTCGGGTTTAGGGGATCAGGGTTTAGGGTTTAGGGTGGTATGTTGGGTTTCGTGTGATGTCACGAAGAATTTTTCAACCCGAGATCCAGGCATAGGCTGTCTTTCCATGTTCAAGGCCAAGAGTTTTTGCATGTTTGACCAGCTACAATTATAAATTCAAGAGTTTAAAGCTTTACACTGCTCCAGATGGTTGGGTGGCTTTGAGATCGAAAGATGCAGCACAACGATTTCGAGACTTTTGGGAACGGACCTGGGGGGGCTTCGGGGTTGGGGGCCTTGGGGGAACTTGGCGGCGACGGAAACAATGATTCCAAGAGCGGCCGTTGTGAAGCACAGAAAGCTAGGCAAGAACAAGACGATGAAGATTGTTTATGAATGTCCCGAGAACAGTGTTGATGGTACAAAAAGCCAGTACTGCTATTGTGTTCGACCATGGTGGGTCTGGACAGTATGAGATCGTGTTGTATACGGCTGTCTGTGGCGTTTAGTTTCAGGTCCTGGACCAGCATCAAAGGCCCTCTCACGTGCGGGAAATGCTTTCTGTAGCCGCCTTCAAAACAATATCCTCCTCATAGCAGCACAGCGACACTGCTACTGGTGATGATGATGATGATGATGATGATGATGATGATGAGAGTGGTCGTCATAAGCATCACCACAGGCATCGTCATTCCGGTCAGGATATTTACCATCATCACATCCCCGAGTCTATGGCTTTTGGGTCCCTCCGTCCCTCAAGGGCGGAAGGCAGGTCTGCCGGACCTTCGGTTGTAGGTCTTCTCTTGAAGCGCCTCAAGTCCCTCAGCTCATGCTTAGAGCGAAAAGCTAAGCCTTCATGTGAGTACCGGTACCAGGTACTCCCTGGAAATAAAGCCATTCAACAATAACGTAGAGCCTGCACCTTTATCTAT